TGGTCAGAGTTACCAAATTTCTAGTGGCCGACATATGGGCCTTACTAAACCTGCATGTCTACCAAAATATAAAACAGGTTTTAGGGAGGCGGGTACCTTCTTAAAAACTTAATAGGATTAAAGTATATTTTTTAAAATTATTGGGATAGAAGTACATCTTCTAAAAAAAAGTCATAAAAACCCTTTTACCCTACCATAAATAGTGCATACCTAATTGAATGTGAGACTTTTAAGGTTTTGTTTTGATATTTGTGTATCATTTGAATTTTAAAATTTCATATATATATATAGTAACATCAAACACTAACATTTATATATACACACACACACACACACACACACACACACACACATATAAAAATATTAAACAGTAACACGCTCAACAAAAAAATAGTAATATCAAAGATTAAATTTTTAATTAAGTTTTTTATTGAGTATGTTACTGTTTGATGTTACTATTTTTTTGTTGAGTGTGTTACTATTTTATGTTACTATTTTTTTTGTTGAACGTGTTACTGTTTGATGTTATTATTTTTGATTGAGTGTGTTACTGTTTGATTTTACTATATGTGTGTGTGTGTATATATATATATAAAATTTTAAAATTAAAATTATACAAAAATATCAAAAGAAATCTTGAAAGTCTGACAGTTTAATATTTAAATATTGGAAATATAAAAGCTGTCTATTAGGTATGCACTATTTATGATAGGAGTAATTATGAAATATATTTTAGAAAAAATTTGAAAATATTTTAATATGTGTACTTATTGACAACTATTTGATGAAAAAAAGGAGTTAAAGGAGGATAAGTTTAGAGACAATACTTAAAACCAAATAAATTTTAAAAAAGGTATTCACGTCCCATTATCTCAATACAAAATAGGAAAGACCAACCCACATTTTATATATATAAATATCCCTAAATCTTCTAAAAAATTTCAGTAGGGACAATATCCTAAAAGTTTAAAAATTATAAATACATCCCAAAGGTTTTTAAAATTGCAGTGGAGGCAGCTGCCCTCACTACAGATCCACCCCTAAGAGTTCAAGTTGAGAATGCATGTGTGGGCTAGGATTGGCTCCCACACCCAACAATAATTAGTGGTATCAGCTTCTATTATTCACAAACATGTGTTCCATGTGGGAGCCAATCCTAGCCCACACATGCATTCTCAACTTGAACTCACATCTAAGCTGATACCTTGCATGTGTGCACCACGGTGTCAACTATGGGGAAAGACTTTATCTGGTACTTTCCACACACGACGCCATATTGTACGAATAGTTTCCTGCACAATGAATTGAGATAGAGGTATTTGGATAAGAATGCCCTAATGGTGTTTTCCAAACTTCATCAGGATTGCTTTGCTCGGGAGACCCAACATTAAATATACATCCCTTCAGTGCATTCATTGAACTACATCAAAGATCCATTGGAGTGGCGCTGGGTATTAAGTATAGACACCCTCAACTAATCCACATCAGCGAGGACCATGCCTTTATCTAGATTTCTTGATATTTGACGTGTGCATCAATGTAGAGATAATCATTCTCTACAGTATATCGCATCGTGAGATTTCACGTACCTGCCTAACATTGATCACTCAGGCCTGGGATAACCTGTTTTTTCATTGTCCCATCCTTCCCCTTATTCGTTACAAAAATTATTTGTGTGGAACCTACCAACAAAGTGTGTCAGATGAACTATTTAATGCAAAAAGACAATTGTAATCAAAAAGGTATGTGTCAATAGGGTATTTATGCCATTTTTCTTACTTGTAACATCAATGGCTTTATATCACCAAACAATACCACATGATAAGTGGTATTCATTTAGGCCATGTAGAATGGTTAAAGGGTACTGTATAAACGGGATTAATATTATAATTTAAAAAATAATACTGTACATAATATGTGAACCAAACAAGATAATAGGTGAGTCCTAAATATTAATTCTTATTATCTCACTCATTAATACCACTAAAACCACCAAATAAACGGGTCCTTGAGTCTCTTACTCCGGGCCTTAAATCCACTGCGTGTTTGTTTCACCAGATAAAAGGGGATAAGGTGGGGAATTGACATAAAATAATACTGAGGGCCCACATATCCTTCATTTGCATCGAACACATCAGATGGGATAATTGTTGCAAATGAAAAAGTCGGCCCGTATCAAATGACACTTATATCCCATCTGAACCGGATATTTTTAACCCACTGGTATTCACCCAACTGATAATACACCAGAAAAAAAAAATTAAAACATGAAAAATAAATAAAAGCCAATTCCAGCAACACCCAACTGATAATAATAATGCCAATCCAACTATTTATTAAATATAAAAGCTTATTTGTCTAATATATTTGTGGTCAACTTTTTTCAATTAAAGTAATAACCTAATATTGTCGAGTTAGATATGATTTAGGTTCGGACAAGATTGAAAAATAATGTCATAAATAGGAGGTTTTATCAAAAAGAGTTGGTTGGTACATGGGGCCCACGGTACCCTAAATTAGTATCCAAATGAAGGATTGAATACAAGCAAATATGCTAATCCAGCCGTTTAGTCGGCTGGCAAGGGGTTTCACTGGATAGGTTTGAATACCAAATTTAAACCAGTCCAATTTAGGGGTGCTTGCCAAACGTACCTCGTTGTTATACTGTTTATGTACATGTGTCACGCTTTTATACGTGCGTCACTTTGAGTCTCGTCAGTGTCAATTTTCATCGGGGAAAATTTTAGTTATATTTTTTTTAATTTATCATATTTTCAATGACATCCTCTCTATTTTTTGAATCTTTATTGAGACCCTTTATAAGATTAAAAATGTTAATTAAAATTGCCCATAATACATTTGATAAAAAACTTCATTCACATCCTCTCTAAATAGACACATCTTTAATGAGACTTTCTTTGTATGCTAAAGTTTTTTACGTATTAAAATTTAGGTCGATTAAAATTCAATTTTTATGTATTAAAATTTAAGTCAATTAAAAATTAATAATTTTTAATATGCTCAAATCAAATTTTAATCAACTCGCGTTGCATTTTAAACAATCCGAATTTTGATAGATAAAAAATATAAATTTTAATCAACTTAAATTTTAATATGTAAAAAATAAATTTTAATCGGTTCGAGCTCAAATCGGCTCGAATTTTAATTAATAAAAAATAATTTTAATAGGCTCGAATTTTAATACATAAAAAAAATAAAATTTAATTAGCTTGAATTGAATTTTAATCAACTCAAATTTTCATATATAAAAAATCGAATTTTAATCTGTTTGAATTTTAATATGTAGAAAAATAAATTTTAATCAGTTTGAATTTTAATCGAATTTTATCTAAAAAAATTGTTAGGGACCATTTGTTTTGAGTATTAGAGTGGTATAAGGAGGTGGTAGTAGGAAAATAGTACGTGGGAATCATTTTATACGTTGTTTGTTTGACATTTTATAGTTAGTACTATTTTTCGGGTTGTAACACCGATCCGCTATGAACAGTAGCCATAATGCCTTATAGAAGATTTTAATGAATATCACCTAGGGGGTGATATTATATTCTTGATATAGGTATTATAAACAAAAAAGACCGAAATGTCATCCGGTACAATTCTCATATAAAAGCTTGCCTGCAATTTTTGATTTTTTAAAAGTTAAAATTGTCTTTTACATTAATTAGCCGTAATTGTTGATTTTTTCAAGTAGGTATTACACAAATAATATTTGTGATAAACAAATAAGGAGAATGATGAGATTATAGTTTAACACCGGGTATAATATACTACTAGATTGAAGTGAAATGGATACAAAATCTTATACTATCTAAATTTTATACCCGAAACAAACATGTCCTTAAGTGTTTATGTAAGGGCCTTTCTGGTATTTTAAATAATTTTTTTTTTTTCGATTAGAAATGATAGTTTAATGGTAAAAGTTGTTAGTAATGTTTAAATATAAAAAAAAAGAGAGAGTCAATGATATTTTTGATAATAGATGATATGCCTTTCAAAATAATAGGGGGGGGGGGGCATTGATACCTGCGTCACTTCAAGTTTGGTCAATGTCAATTTTTATCATGAATATTATTCTACTATATTGTTATAGGACCAATGCTATATAATTTAAATTTGTAATTTAAATTTGTATCTTAAATCATGGATCAGTGGGTCTCATTTTAAAAAATTGATGGAACTATTTATTCAATGATCTCCTATATTTAAGATGCAAATTTAGATTATAAATTTGAGTTATGTAGTATTTCATTGGTTATAACACGTTGAGATGCCCGCTCCCTTTCTTCATTGTAGCTGTGTCACTTTGGGTCAATTGAAGCATGGAATGGTTTGGTTGATAGTTGAAATAATGCGATTGGGATTGAACATTAAGTTTTTTGCGTGTTTGACTCCTTGTGTATTTGTATTTGATCATTTTTATTTGTTAAATTAATTTTAGTAATGTTACTCCATTTCTTCATACCTCTGCAAAATAAATCGATACAAAATCTGCTAATTGATGTATGGGTTTGATCAAAACATCTTACCGGTTGTAATATGGAGAATTACTTGGTGCAAAAACGTGAATTGTGAATTCTCTCTCTCTCTCTCTCTCTCTCACTCATCCATGATTCATGCTCATCATGCAATGCAATGCTGTTTTCTTTGCCTTTTATGAGACCTGCTGTCTGCTGAAGCCGATCGATGTCAAACAAGCATCAAGTGCCTTATTTATACCATTAGTTTTACAAGATGACTTGTTGAAAATTATGAATTGGACCCCCCAAATCCTTTGAAATTACATTGCATGACACCTTACTTAGTAAGAGAATGAAATATACATGCAGGGACAGAACCGGGATTCTTAACTAGATAAACATTTATATAAAATCTATCAAAACCACCTCTTATGCATCATCCCGTATAGTATCGCCCTTACACAATTATTTGGCCCCATAGACAACAAAGCTGTGACAACATTGGACTTGCTAACAATATTGTCAATGTTTCTTGATAAATTGTTTGATTCCATCAATCAATTTTTCAGTTTCAGCAGCAGTGAATGGGTCCATGTCCACAGCAATTTTGTTGAGATAGAAGCTGTGACCCATTCCATGGCTGATCAGTAACTCCACTTCCTTGTCACCCTTTTTCAAGGCATCATAGTATTCCATTTCAGTGTCTTTCAGCAGGTCATTTCCGGCGACGCAGAACAGTATCGGCGGCAGTTTCAGGCCGTGGATTGGCGGTGCCGCTTTCCCCATCGGACATGTTATACGATGATCCTTTGTACTTCCCACTGGTAATGCCAAGTTCAAGAACTTGTCCACCATGTCTCGTGTTAAGAATGGTGATTCAGATTGTTCCGTCTCCGATTTGCTCCGTTCTGACCGGACGAAACCCGGGTGGATTGGGATTGCTCCGGCCAGTCTCAACGGGTTCAGGTCTTCATTTCCGGCACGTGCGGCAACGTCGTGCACTATGTTACCGCCAGAGCTGTCTCCTATTAGGAACACACGACAAAAGTCACCGTGATCCTTCAGCCATGGGTCATAGGAATTACCTTGAGCCAGGGACTGAAGCCAAAGGAGGGCAGCGAAGCCGTCCTCACAGGCTGCCGGGAGGCGGTGCTCGGGGGCAAGACGGAGGTAAACGGAGACAACAATGGCTTGGACCGAACGCGCGAGACGAGTGTATACATGGTAGTACATGTACCAATCAGCTTCGCTGATGCAAAAACCACCTCCGGGGAAATGAAGAATGATGGGTAGCTTATGCATATCATATACGGCAGTTTTTTCAATATCAGAAAGAGGTGACAAATCCGAAGAATTCTTGGGTAAATAAACTCGAACACGGAGACCCGAGTCAGCATTGATGAGGACATCACAAGTGGCAACTCCATCCTTGAAATCATGGTGGGGAGACACAGGGTCGGCCATAAACTTAACCTCGGGTGGTCCGGTCCATGTCCGGTCGACCGAGCCATCGTCGAAGACCCTAAGCCAACCAGACACCTCTTCAATGACCTTCTTATCATGAACCATTGTATTGGTTGAGATATAGGGTTTAGGTATGGTGTATTGTATGTGCACTTTGCTATCATTTTATAGAGGAGTGAGAAGGGATAGGTTTGGTCTTGAAGAGGAAGTTTCAAAGTCATTTTACCCTTTGAAAACTGGAAAACAGTTGCTTTTTTTCCAAAAGACATCTCCAAGAAATTTACAATTAGACTTCACTTGATGACCGGTTCACCCCGTAAAGCTGGGCTGCAAGTCACCTCTTGAGTGGGAATCTGAGTTTTGCGTAAATATAGGGTTTAACGGTCATGGCACGATACTAATATTACACGATGTAATCATTCAATAGAAAAATATGGTTAGACAGTTAAGAATTTTTGTAGGATTTATTTGTAGACTTGTTCATTTATCAATGGATGATTACACCACATGCTATTACTGAGATAGTATAATTGTTAAATTTAATATTTTATAGCAATAACACCGTCTTAATATCTTCATTTTTTCGAAAGTTTCGTTTTAATTGAGGTGTCATTCCTATCACCCGGCTTTTGCTCAATTCTATGACACTGATCTTGCATGCACACAATCAACCGTGAAACATGCTTACATGCTGAATTAGAGGTGTCAAAATATGACACGATTCGTTAATACGATACGAAATTAAAAGATTTTAGAATTTTTTAAGGCAACTGTCTTGTAAGTGAGTGGATCCGATATGGTACGACTAATAAATGAATTGAGTATGAGTGAAACAAATCAAAATAAATACACAATATGAAAATTATACACAATTAATATATGATATGAACTAAAAATGACACGACTCATTAGATACAAATTAACAAATAAATCGGATATGAATGAAATTTTTTTTTTACGCGAATCCATTAAAATCCAAATCAAATCCGTTTTACCAGAGACATACCAAGATTTAGTCCAAATATCGATTTACACTCAATATTCACAGACAATGAAGCATGGTGTGCATCACTTACTCGAATAGATAACTTTTTCACCATTATTAAATAATTTCTGCCTGTCAACAGCAAAGAAAGACAAAAGCAAAACAAAAAAAAAATTTACTCTGTTCGTACTTGTTGCGACGATGGAGTCAAGATTTTATTAGGAGAGGGGACCAACAATAATAAAGATAAAAATTTAATTTAATAAGATTATTCAAAGGTCAATATTATCCGAGGTCTCGAACTTCTTGTGTGAGGTTCCCCCAACACTCCTGCCCTGTATTGTGTCTACCCTACATCACATAGAACTAGGAGTGTTCAAATTTTCGACTTGTCGTAAATTTCTCCCCTACCCTATCCTATTGAACGGGTAACTGCAAAAATCGAGTAGGAATGTAAAAAAATTTTGGTCTTTCGACAATTTTCAAGTAGGAATACGGAATAACTTTCCATATTCGTATTCCTATTCTACCCTACCCTACCATACCCACAATAATTTTTTAATATATATATATATATAAACTAAAAAAATCTTAAACCTTGGCGAAGCAATTAGGATTTTAATGTATTTCATATGGTTTAAAGTTTGAACTTAAATTAATTGTTATTGTATTTGTGTAACAATTATGTTGGATTGATATTCATACTTTATTGTATTTTATTATAATTCTTGTTGTCGTTGTTTTAAATTTTAGTGTTAATTGATTTATTATATTGTTAAATTGGTGCATGTTATTTAATTATATTGTTAAAACTAATCCAAAAATTAATTGTTATAAAAATATTTACCCGACTTCTTACCCGATTAATCGGGTAGGAATTCAGGTAGGAATACCATACCTGTTGGGTAGGGTAGGACAAAAAAAAACTCTTTCGCAAAGTATGAGGTAGGAAGACGGAAGAACATATTTCTCACTCGTAAGATAAAGTGAACACCCATACATAGAACAAAACTAAGAGTGAGAGTGCAAAAACGTTAACATTCAAAAAAAATTAAGAGCGGGAGTGTATTAAGAGCGTCTTATTATATGCATATAAACAATTTTATCCGTAAAAAATTTAATATAAATAAAATATAAAAAATTAAAATTTCATGCATAACTGTAAGACAAACTATTTCATTTTTAAATATATGCTGATTATAAAGTCTTAAAATGACAAATATAGTTCACAAATATTATTGTAATTTGATATGTATCTTTAGATCTGAATTAGTACTTTCCAAATGAAAATTTTAGTAATAAAAAATAAGTATATAAGTAGGTGCGGAATTAGTTGAATTCGCGAATTGAATAATTGAATTCACAAATTTTTGTAAAATGACAGTACGAATTCGCGGGCGGAGAGCTAGAGCATTAGGAATTTATAAGGATTATGTGACTAAGTATCTATATATACGCATTGCACATCTAGGACTAAGTTATAGTATCAAAAATGTAAATTATAACCATTTGCGGTCATTAACCATTAAAACAATAAAACAAAGTAAAATAATGAGATTATTAATTTTCGCTTGAATCATCTTATGATTGAATTAAGAAAAATGGGACGATATCAAAATCAGACAAGAAATAGAGTCCAAATAATATAGTAGTGTAAATTAATCTTAAATATTATATGAATAAAAGTAGTACTTTTTAGTTAGTTTAGCATTATTCAAAAATTATTTTCTAGTACCCTAATCTTACCCCAATTACTTAAAAAAAAAAAAGAAAAAAAAATCCATAAAAAAAGGGAAAAAATCTAACCCCCAACTACCTTTCCCTTTTTGCCAATGAGTTTATTACCTTACTATTTATGCAAAATAGACAAAAAAGTGAAAACGAAGGGTCAAATTTTTCGGGCAGCCATGGGGGTCCACCATCCATCTCCCTCGAGAAAGTATACAATGATTGTGTTAGAAAGGATTCAAAAATGTATAATCAAATCAATACGTTATTTTGCATCACCAAAAAGTTAATAATAAAGTTAGCTAATTTTAAATTATTTTTGTCAGATATAATCATCTTAAGTCTTCTAATTAAAAGAATCATATAAAATAAAGTGTGTTTAGTCACGAATAAATAAAGCGGGTATAGAATGTAATGAATTTAGTAATTTTATATCCAAAAAAAATTGACGAGATCTAAACAAATATTTGTGTGATAAGAATAGTCACATCTATTTTTTGCCGCCACCGTTACTACTATTGTACTATTGTTACAGCCATCCCCCACCATTGTCATGGTAGTGGTACGAATAAAGATAGTTGTAATGAAAAAAAAAATAATAATAATATTTAAATTTCAATTCTTTATATTTGTTAAACAGTTCGATTCAATTCAAATACTTAAATTTTAATNATAATAATAATTTTTAGATTTCAATTCTTTATATTTGTTAAACAGTTCGATTCAATTCAAATACTTAAATTTTAATATATATTAAACAATATGCAAATTAAAAATTTTAACATTCTTTTTTTTTTTGTCAGACTATCTGGTATCCGAAAGTCACTTTGGACTCCGACTAATCTGGATTCGAGCCGAGTAGAACTTCAAGGTAAGCAAAGCTCTCCCTACCGAACACAGCTGCGTTTCCAAAACTCGAACTCGAGACCTTGGTTAAGCTTGAACGTTCCCTGACCAACTGATCTAATGCTCGGCGATAAAATTTTAACATTCAACACTTAATTCATCATTCATTTTCCAATATTCAAATTCTAACTTTTACGATACAGACATGATTTTTCGTGGACACATGAATGTACTCAAAAACAAATTAGTGGTCAGGATAAGTTTTTTACCTTTACGTCATTTGTTAGAGCACACGTTGATAACATTGCATTTTGTTCCCATAAATTTGTGTGGAACACATGTTTGTGAATAATAAAAGCTCACACCACCCATTATTGTAGGGTGTGGGAGCCAATCCCAGCCCACACATAGCATTCTCAACGTGAAGGCCACTTAAAATTTATAATGGAGTCTCTTACTCCTTGAGATCGTATATTGCTTAATCCTTGGTGAGTACAACGATGATACAAGTACTGGGTTCTTTATAGGGGTTGTGTACTCTGTTCTAACTGCTAGGTTCTTGGCTTGAGAGCGTGAATAATGAATCCTCCTTCTATTGGGTAACAGTTCTTTATTTATACAACAACTCTTTTAGGGTTTCCTACTGCCCCTCCTTTTTTTTGTGCTGATTTCGTGGGTCCTCCTGTCTGTATCCGGTAGCAACCTTTGTCATCTGGTGTCACTGTTCATCCGGTGCCCTTGTGTCCACGATCTCTGGATTATTATGCACACCAATACTCTCTGCATCCGGGAGTGTGTGACTGTCGGGAGTGTTAGTGATGGTCCCCTTATCCTTAGGACACACGACGCAACGGGATGCTTCGAAGTTCGTATCAAGTTGGGCCTCTCTATCTTGGGCTACTCATCGACTGAGCTGGATTGGGGTTAAGTTGGGTTGTANAAAAGCTCTAGGGCCCCAAAGCGACCTAGAGCCGGTGAGCATCATCATGACAACCTTTCAAGGAAAGCAAGGCCACTGGCCCTGGACGACCTCCGACGAGGTTTGTCTAGACGGAGGAAGGGAGATGAATCCGAGGAGGACTCAACCCAATCCACACGACGCCCGGGAAATGAGGGACTTACCGACGAACTCAAGGACTTCAAAAGGCATCCCGCCAGGGAAGAAGTTGATCTCAGAGCCCGATTAGACACCAGGAGAAAGGGTAAGGCTGTCCAGGATGAGGCCGAGGACGAAGTCATGCAAACACCCTTTACGAGGGAGATCAGTGAGAT